CCAACCGCCTCAATCGCCGCCGTTTTGCCAGCAGTCGCGCCGCGGAATGGCAGAAGCTCCAGAGTAGCCTCCAGCGCCCCTCTCCGCACGTGTGCAGGTGCACTGCGGCCGCCGGGTCCGACGTCCAGGCAGTAAATTGAACTTTTTGAGTCAAACACGTACACATATGATAAAATGAATGTCACCATCGTGTTCTACGCCCCAAATTACGCGACGAGACGCTTCAGATGAGTACTTTAAAGTTGAATTTTGAGATCACAGGTCGGGTCAAGGTCAGGTCAAACACCTGAAATCGGGCTTTCAGTAGCATGGACTTCAGGACTTCGCAATGGGCGCCTCTCGCCATAAACTCTGTCAAAACGGTGCACAATCCATCTTATAAGGCCTACAAGAGTGTCAGCTCCATATAGGGGTCAGTCAAGCATAGGTCAGGGTCAAGGTCAGGTCAACCGGGTAGGCACATATCCCCGAAAATCAAACGTTTGCCGCCTCGTGCGTTTCGCTGCGCCTATTGGTTCTCGAGTTATCGGCTGGGGGCGTTTAACGCCCCCCCCCCCCCAGCAAACGGTGGGTGGCGAAATACCCCAGCAACTGCCGGGTTAACTGGGTGACTTGTGGTTGCTAACGCTCACGTGATTTGCCATAAAATTTGGGATCGATCACAGGAGATTCGTGGCTATAGGGCATCTAGAATCGATGCTTTAGAAGAACTGAGTTCCGAGAGTTTGAGGTCACAGAGAGGTAAGAAATTTGTAGATGGAGGTCACAATTGGATGTTACAGAGGTCATCTGGGACACGTCAGGTCACAGAGGTCAACTTGGGGTCATCACAGAGCTCAATTGGAGACCACGGAAGTAATCTGAGACACGTCAGGTCACAGAGGGCAACTTGGGGGCACGTCAGGTCACAGAGGTCAACCTAGGGTCATCACAGAGCTCAATTGGAGGTCACGGAGGTCATCTGGGACACATCAAGTCACAGAGGTCAACTTGGGGTCATCACAGAGCTCCATTGAAGGTCATCACAGGAGATTCGTGGCTATAGGGCATCTAGAATCGATGCTTTAGAAGAATGCTTTGATTTACTGATTGACGTGAGAAAGTGAAAAGCCCCGTTTTACGCGGACCTTTTTCGAATAAACTGATTCTGATTCTGATTCTGATTCTGATTCATTGGGGCCATCTGGGACACGTCAGGTCACAGAGGTCAGCTTGGTGCCATCAGAGAGGTCACTTAGAGGTCACAGAGGTCATATGGGACACGTCAGGTCACAGAGGTCAACTAAAGGTCATCAGAGAGCTCAATTGGAGAGCATCTGGGACACGTCAGGTCACAGAGGTCAGCTTGGAGTCATTAGAGAGCTCAATTGGAGGTCACGGAGGTCATCTGGGACACGTCAGGTAACAGAGGTCAACTTGGGGTCATCACAGAGCTCTATTGGAGGTCATGAGGGTCATCTGGGACACGTCAGGTCACAGAGGTTAGCTTGGGGTCATCATAGAGGTCACTTAGAGGTTACAGAGGTCATATGGGACACGCCAGGTCACAGAGGTCAAGTTGGGGTCATCACAGAGCTCAAATGGAGGTCATCTGGGACACGTCAGGTCACAGAGGTCAGCTTGGAGTCCTCAGAGAGCTTAATTGGAGGTCACGGAGGTCATCTGGGACACGTCAGGTCACAAAGGTCATGTTGGGGTCATCACATAGCTCTATTTGAGGTCATGGGGGTCATCTGGGACACGTCAGGTCACAGAGGTCAGCTTGGAGTCATCAGAGAGCTCAATAGGGTGTCACGGAGGTCATCTGGGACAGGTCAGGTCAAAAAGATCAACTTGGGGTCATCACAGAGCTCATTGGAGGTCATCGGGGTCAGCTGGGACACGTCGTTTTTGGAATTGGGAGAATATTTTGGGGGATGCCCCTTGCAACGTCCAAGACCGCCTTTCTGGATTCGCCAGTAGTTGCTGGAATGGTGTTAGGCTACTTCATATCCCCGAATACCCCAATAAATGTGAATATAACATCCCAGTAAACATGCCGACGTCGGCCCGACGTCGGCCGACGTCGGAGTGACGTCGGCAACTCGGCATCGGCATGTCGACGTCGGCCCGACGTCGGTCCAACCTCGGCACGACGTCGGCTGGATGTCGGATATGCCCGCATGTTCCGACGTCCAGCCGAGGTCCAGCCGACGTCGGACCGAGATCAATTGCTGAGGTCCAGCCGACGTCGGGCCGACGTCGGGGCGACGTCGGACCGACATCGGCCGCTGTTTTGACCGTTAAAATAATATAAAATACATGTTTCATGTTTCATAAAGAGCTTCTGTATTCAAAATTGATCCTCAGAAAACTCAAATCTTCCTCCACGCCGCAACCCCCTGATCCGGACTGGACGGGAAACTTTATCCCATTTGGGATTGCCCGTAAGCCGAGCTCGCCCGTAGCCGGGTGCGGTGAGTGCTTGGGGGCTGCTCGGCCTATCCTTTGGTCAGGCTCAGCCACGGCAACTCGCCAGGGCCGGGCCCAGTTCATATAGAAAGGCCAGTCGGCAAGTGTCACTTTGCCAAAGTGCCACTAATCAAAGGGACACTTTGGGAAACGTTGGTGCAGGTGTGTAAGAGTGGCTGTATGAATCCATTGTGGGGTCGCCCTTTCCAATAAGTGTCACGTAACAGCAATGGGACCAGGGACTCTATATGAACTGTACCCAGGGTGCTCGCCAAGAAGACCAATCATCCTTCCGGCTCTGAAATGGTCTTGTCAGACCGAAAGGGCATAACCCAACAAAACAAACTAAATTTGCTAACTGGCTGCGTGGTGTAGTGGCTAGCGCACTAACCTCGCGTTCAAATGACACTGGGTTCGAATCCCATCACCGGGTGGTGCTTTTGGCGTGTTGTCCCAGTAAACATGCCGACGTCGGCGACTGGTGGGCTCGAATCCCGCCGCCGGTTGACATTTTTGGCGCGTTGTCCCAATAAACATGCCGACGTCGGACCCGTCGGTCCAACGACAAACGATCTCGTCAACCTCGGCAAACGACCTCGGCCCGACGTCGGCTCGACGTCGGCTGGACTTCGGCTGGACGTCGGAACATGCGGGCATATCCGACGTCCAGCCGATGTCGGGCCGAGGTTGAACCGACGTTGGGCCGACGTCGGGCCGAGTCTCGGCCCGACGTCGGGCCGACGTCGGCATGTTTACTGGGATATTATGCACCATTTTCAACACTCTCGCTGGCACGGATTGAGGCCTAATAGACGACCCGTCAGTTCAAGCTCTATAACTCGCGTTAGCGTCAACGGATTGCAACCAAATTTTCAGGATCTACAGTTTAAACAATTTTACACCTACCGTGTAAATTTCGTGACCATGACCCGAATGACCTGTGACCTGTGACCTCTTCCTCAAGGCAAGGTCAACTTGCGACACAACCTACGACTGCTATTTCAAAATCGCAAGTTGTGTCGCAAATCAGGCTATTTGCGATAGACTTTACTACTTAACCCTATTCCTGGCGGGCTCCGCCGGGACAAGAAACTGGCGGGGGGGGGGCCGATTCGGCCCCCTCCCCCTGAGATCTCGAGAACGAAGCAAGATAGCGACAAGCGGTAAACGGCATCGGATACGCACAGCCAAGATCTACAATTTTTACAAAGGTCATTTTCAGGTCAGGTCAAAGATGACGTCACAGGGGTCGAAAAAGTCAAAATGGCGGCGCTAGATATGGAGAGAGTTTTTCTCGAATAACTTTCGAATTAGTCAAGATAGGAACAAACTAAGGGCATCATCGTGATCCTCTCGTCAATCCGCATCGAATGATATATATGTTGACCTCGAAAGGTCAAGGTCAAAGGTTGACCTCAGGTCACGTGACCTCGAGGTCATCATGTATATCATTCGATGCGTCTTGACGAGCTGAACACAATGAGACCATCCACGCGTCTGTATCTTGTTCCTATACGGAGTTATTGGCCAAAAACCTTTGGTGACCTTTGATGACGTCACATGACCTCACAGCTGCCCAACAGCAAAACAGACCTCAAGGTAGTGAAGGTGGATCGTATATGAAGTCATGTATGGTATATGGGGCCATTCCGACCCGTTTTAGTGGTAAAAACAGGGAGTTGATTTTTCCCCCATTGACTTATAATGGGGAGGTCGCGAAACTGACCTGACCTTAGGTCACCGATATCAAAATTCCGAGATATACAAATTGCACATACTGGTACCCTAACTAAAGCCTGAAGAGAAGAAATTGATCGGTCAAAAACTCTAGCTCTGGCGTGATTGCAAACTTTTCTGAGGTAGGGTCACCAAACCGCCTCTGGTGACCTGACCTGAGGTCAGATCAACTCAAAATTTTCAGACCTGTTGCGTAGAAGCCTTTTAGAAAAAGTCACAAAATTTGAGCTTCCTAGCTCAACGCGTTTGGGAGAAATAACCAAAAAACCTCAGGGGGGGGGGCTCCTGAGGCCCCCCCGCCAGGAATAGGGTTAAGTAACGCTACTCATCGATTGATCCCTTCAAAAACGACTTACTACACAACTTGCGACACGTTGCAGCTACGACGAGGCTTACGACGCTCTGGATCCCCCCAGCTTCATGTTTCAAACCGATCGGTCAATCGATGTAGCTACGGCAAACATTGACACTTTTTATAAAGTGAGGTCACTTGGCGTGGCCTTGTAACCAGACCTTGAGTGACCTTGAGTGACATTGTATTACTGATGCCTCAGACTTAATTACCTATCAGACCTCGGCCCGTTTATGTCCTTATAAACAAAGAAGTATCGTCGAGCAAATTCGCCCTTCCCTTCTTAACAGTTTTTCTCACAACACAAAATATGCAGCAATTTCAGGAAAGTTAATGCTTTTCCTTTTTCGACTACGCCATTCTCGAGATCTAGTGCCGCAAATACGTGTAAACGCAACGGTGCTAGAAACTTATGTACATACGTGTTCCACCAACACCAGCACCCTACGACCCTTCTCACCAGTGATGTCCAGTCTCTTCAGCGACTTGGGCAGCAGCCGCAGCCACTTGCCGGAGCTTTCCACAGGCGGGCTCACATCGAGCCGCTCCAGAGCCTTCAGCGGCTCCAGCAGCGCCTCCAGCTGCCAGTCGTTGATACCGGCCGGCAGCGTCAGCTCACGCAGACTGGAGCCGTTGGCACGCGCCAGCCGGCGCAGGGCAGAGACCCGCAGTTTGAAGCCGCGCAGGTTGGCCTTCTCCAGGGCGTGGCAGGTGGCTGCTGGAGTAAAGCAACACCAGTCAGTGAAGTGATCAGTGAAGTCAGTGAAGTCAGTGAAGTCAGTGAAGTCACCAGTAAGTGAAGTCAGTGATCACTTATATACACAAGGGATGACAGTTACAGCGGGACAAAGCGTACCAGTTCGTGTAGCGCGTTTCACACAGGACTCACCGACCAGTCGGAGGTCGGTGTCCGTCTCAGCGGTCGGCGCCCGCAATTCGGTCATCTTCGGCTGGTCCTGCACCTTCACTACTAGCTCTAGGCCCGTGGCCGGCGTAGACACCTCTCCACCGCGGGTTTTCTGATCGGTTAGCTCCCGCCGACAGTCGCCGATGATATCGTCGACAGCGGACCGCCACCGACGGCAGACTGTCGGCACCGAAGGAACATGGGGGATCGGGCGGCATGCCAGCGAGCGACAAACATCAAAGTCAGAGTTCAAATACAGGCAGCGTTAGAAATTCTATAAAATATAACATCGATATTCCATATAATGGCAACCGGAATTCACATAGCTACAAGCCATTCATTGGAGTTTATATATCCACCCAGACTTTCCCAACTTGCTGAACTCTCAGTTGGCTAAGGAAACACATCACATCGACTCGGATAATAGTTATTGTGACACACGACCTCGCCAGTCGCCAGGACACTCACCCCGCCTGGCGCGGAACATGTCCCTGCAGTCCACCTTGCTCAGCACCATCTTCAACAGCTTCGAGTCAAGGTGGTAGATGTTGGCCTCGCGAGGCGCGGGAGGCCTCAGCTTACCGGACGCCGCCGGCCCCATCTCCTCCGTAGTTGGGGTGACGTCACAACTGGTGGTGGCGTCACACTTGTCACAGGTGTCGGCCTTCAGTGAGGCCACCTCTTCGCCGTCACTGTGGTGAAATGACGTCAGAGTGACGTAGTAAGACGTCATCTAAGGTCAGTCATAAGGCGATAATTTCGAGATGTCTTCATTTTACCGAGACAGCACCGTATCATGGGCGCCCACGCATGGGTGGAGAACATGCCCCGGCCACCCCGGCCGTGGCCGGGGTAACTTTCAGCCTACCCCGGCGCGGCCGGGGTAACTTTTACACTCTTGTAAGTCCTAAAAGCTGTCCAGTGGCGGATCCAGGGGGGGGGGGCAAAATGGGCATTTGCCCCCCCCCCCCCAAACGGCATAATTTTAACCCGCGCACCGACGGGGGGGGCGGATATCCGCCCCCCCCTGAGGTTTTTCGCGAATAGCGGGAAAACCGCGGCGCGTAGCGCCGCGAAATTTAATATGACTATTCCCTTATCAATTTTACACATGGTGTGCAAGTTTGAACCTCCTAACTTTCAAGGTCAGGTCACCAGGTCACTTTGAATGACCCAACCTCAAGTCACTTTTTTGCAACTTTGTCACCGTGCCAGAGCTACAGTAGATGTCGGAGGCCTTTGAAAGTCGCAGGATGTTATTAGGTCATTAGTAGCTACAATTTGTTTATCTCGGAATTTTGATATCGGTGACCTAAGGTCAGGTCAATTTCGCGACCTCCCCATTATAAGTCAATGGGGGAAAAATCAACTCCCTGTTTTTACCACTAAAACGGGTCGGAATGGCCCCATATACCATACATGACTTCATATACGATCAACCTTCACTACCTTGAGGTCTGTTTTGCTGTTGGGCAGCTGTGAGGTCATGTGACGTCATCAAAGGTCACCAAAGGTTTTTGGCCAATAACTCCGTACAGGAACAAGATACAGACGCGTGGATGGTCTCATTGTGTTCAGCTCGTCAAGACGCATCGAATGATATACATGATGACCTCGAGGTCACGTGACCTGAGGTCAACCTTTGACCTTGACCTTTCGAGGTCAACATATATATCATTCGATGCGGATTGACGAGAGGATCACGATGATGCCCTTAGTTTGTTCCTATCTTGACTAATTCGAAAGTTATTCGAGAAAAACTCTCTCCATATTTAGCGCCGCCATTTTGACGTTTTCGACCCCTGTGACGTCATCTTTGACCTGACCTGAAAATGACCTTAGTAAAAATTGTAGATCTTGACCGTGCGTATCCGATGCCGTTTACCGCTTGTCGCTATCTTGCTTCGTTCTCGAGATCTCAGGGGGGGGGCGGTCATCCGCCCCCCCCCCCCCGTCGGTACTAAGTTGGCGCAGACCCCCGTCGGTGCGCGGGTTAACATTACGCCTATGGACGATGCATGGAAAGAATCGATAAATTGTTATGGTTTGCCCCCCCCCCCAAAAAAAAAAACTCTGAGCTGGATCCGCCTCTGAAGCTGTCGCCATACGAGAAAAGAAAACTGTCGTTTTTCGAATGTTAACTGCCATGGGCGTAATACTGCAAACCAGGTTAAGGTATTTACACTATTTAGGTACTCAACTTACCATGCGGTGACGTTGAGCCCTATGGACCCGCGTGTGGTTGCAAATGCCAAGATTGCTCTCAAATCGTGTTCAGTTTCGAAAATTTGGCGCGCCTTCGGCGCACTTTTTTAGAACCGCTGCTTGACCTCACTGCCTTCGACTGGCCTGCCACAAACCGCAACCATACCGTCAGGGCGTAGCCGTCAGGATGCTCATACACCGAGCGTCCGTCACGCTTCGAGCTCGTACTGTTGTAACCGGAACGCGTGCTCTCGCCACGCGGAGCCCAACGCTCAAGCGATTGAGCTACGAGACCGGGACCGGTCGATATCCCTGGATAACTCCCTGTTTGTCTTATATAAGAGGTTGAGCCACCCAACATTGAAAAAGACTGTGTCCCTGGATGTCAGTGATCCATTTTAGCGCTTTGGTTCGAACGTTCAATTTTCTCTGTAAAGCTCCTACGAGGTGAGCTGTCATCTTTTTGTAGCTATTTTGAGACACAATAAAAAGCTGAAAACGCAACATTAACTCATAATGACTCATGATAGGTATGGTCTGAATAATTCGAGGGTTCCGAGCAAGACAACCCTAAGTGTCATTTTTTTTCGAAATTGAGTTAAATATACCAGTCGAATCAGCTCGACGAGCCACGTCGGATGCAAGCACAGCCGTACCGCTGAGTGCGTCCTGTGCTGAGATATAGAGTGCAAGAACAACCTAAGTGACATTTTTGACACTTAGGGTTCAGGCAAGAACATCCTAGCCGTCTTCGCCAGGACTCAGGGGCGCATCCAGGGTGTCGTTTATGGGTGGTGAAGGGGCTCTGGTCAGCCACGTGCAAAGACACTGGTAAAAGTGTCCTGTAGATTAATCCATGGCCGGAAAAAAATCCATCCACGACTGTCGAATATGGGGGTTTCTCAGACACCTACCTGTCCTACATACGTATATTTCGTCATCGATTCGTCATCACCTGGTCTACGCCCCGAGTGAGTGGCGCAGTCATTCGGACCGCCCGGCACGACCCTTCCCCATACGACATCAAGGAGCATCAAATCACCTACTGGAAGGATTGGCAGTCGATCCAGCGCCGATGCCTCACCGAAAGCGGGCCCTGGAAGAACATGAGCAAGGTGACTATCACTCGTGGCGAACCAGAGGTCAACGTAGAGATAGACTACAACAACCAAGAGAAGAGCATCCGGATCCAGGCTGGACGAGGTCGAGGACGACACCCTGGCGACACGTCGCCTGCCATCGAGCCAAAGCAGCTCTACAGCAAGCGGCTGCCCATCAGTGCGGAAAATACCGCGATCTGATCAAGCTCTGTGACGACGGGAACATCCCGGAGCCGTTCCAAACGGAGTACAGGAGCTTGCCGCACTCGGCGCGGCAGGAGGACATTCTCCCGGAGAGCGATTTCGACGATCCGGAGGAAGAGGAGTGAGCAGGGGCGTCGCCACGGATTTTTGAGTGGGGGGGTCGGGTTTCCGGTCTTCGTCTTGATGGGTAGGGGTGTTTTTAGCCACACTCCCGGTTTTTTCGTGTGCCCGGAGAAAAACCTCGGCGCGCAGCGCCGCGAAAGCAGCGGTATATCTTATAATACATCAATTTTGCATCGTGCATAAAAATCAAGCACAGGTCACCTGAGGTCAGGTCACAATGTCATGTCAAGTTCAGTTTTAATGCCTCTTAAAACTGCAATCTTGTCATTCCTATAGATTATCTCCTGACTCCTATAAGTCTGAAATTTGGTGTAATGAATGGGATTATAAGTGCCAACAGTTCATGGATCTGGGATTTTACATCTGAGAAGTGAAGTCAGGTCAAATAGGTATGTGACCTCACCAATGATGATAAGATATGGGAAAAAGCACGATGCCTTCTGCTTTGAAAGAACATGCTAAAAACGCTAGATACTTTTGTAGCCATGGCACCTTGTTCATTTTAGAGACAAGGTGCAGCTAATGACCAGTGGTGACTGGAATGGTCAGTGATTAGGTCATCAAAGGTCTATAACACATTTTTGACAACAATTTTTAATGGCGACGTTGTAGAGCGATGGCCGATGACAGCACCTGGAGTGTGTTCAGCTCAGTAACACAGATCGATCCATATGCAGCAGGTTCTTTTCTAGTCAGGTCATGACCTTTACCTGATGTCAAGTTTTCTATTCAAGTTCAAATTGTAAGCCATGCGACGTGTTTCGACGAAACAAAAACGATGGTGATTACATGAATATTGAATATCATACACATTCACTGAATCATAGGTTGTTACATAACAAATGTTTCGGCAAAATCCGTCCGTTTAGCTGTTTGGACTCTATGGTACACAAGCCATAGACCCGAAGTCATATCTGAGGCGAAGTTGGCGAAAGAGTTAAAAAAAAGCTATCGAATACGCTTTCTGTGTTGCTGTATAGGCTAGCTCTTATTCGTATTTTACGGGTCGCTAAGGTAAAACGCTTACCAACGTAACGCTAAGGCATACTTTCGGCCCCTGATCGAGGTAGAGCTTCGCGGAAGAGCGAGGATGCTGCCCGTGATGAGAGAAAGCCGATGATGCCCAATTTCAAGGTCTTGGCCGGGTCATCTTAGGTCAACGCCCAAAAGTAGGAAAAATCTGGCCGCCTGCTAGAACTTAGTGAGCCTTAGCTGTTATCGGGGTCCCTAGTACGAGTTTGATGTTAGTCTTGAACAAAAATGATGACTTCATGCATTTTGGGTAGATCGGGTCGGGTCAGGTCAGGTCGACGAGCAGGTTTCCTGCCGGCCATCTAGAGTGGGTGACTGACAACCACCAACGATAGCTTCGTAACATGTTACATAACCACCATTTATCAAAACTACTTCAAACGGTTCAAAC